GGAGTGCGCCGTGATGGCGCAGATGACAGGACTGACGACAGACGACCAGGAGCAGTGTGCCGCGACGGCGCGAACATGTCCCTGTCTCTCTCGTCTCTCTCGTCTCTGTTCGACTTCATGCACCGTTTCAATGTAGTTTCATGATCTGCACAAGAGGGAGAGGGAGAGAGCGAGAGAGCGCATGCCTTGCATGCACCGATCATTGCCGCAGCCTCAGAAGGCATCGGCCGGAACTTCACAACCTGAGCACGATCGCACACGACACTCCAGTTAAGCTGCCGCCTGACCTTGCAATTTTCGGAGTCTTCTCAGTAAGCCTTGCAATTTTTCCGAGGCCGTCAAGGGAAGCCGTGCACACGTAGCAAGCCCAGAGCACCTGTGAAGCTTTTTTGAGTGTCTGCAGTGTAGGGCTGTGTATAGCAGTGTATAGGGCACCCAAAAAGCACATAAGCATAAGCCGTTGTAGAAGTATATCTCGACCACATTTGGCTCAGTATCAGGGGGTTCAGATACGATGTCCCTATCCTGAGTTTTGCTGATGTGCATGTTTTTGGGGCCCTAGTGTGGTTGTCCACAGGTGCGACAGCAGAGGATTGCAGCAAAGCTACAGTAGTGAAAGGCTGCGAGGCTTTCCACACTCCGAATTGGTGCTACAGGATGCAAGGAGTGTGTGATAGGTGCTACGGCTTGTTGCGGACGGAGTGCAGCAAGTAGAGCTAAAGGCCCCTCTCAGAGATCAGCGATCATCAGGGAAATCTGCATTGAAGCTTGCTTGGTCCTGAGCGAAGAAACTTGATGTTGTTGTTGCACTTCTGTAGCCTTTGCAGCTGTGTTCAGTATGTTCACCCGAATCCAAGCAGTGAGATTATGATTCCGAGGCCAAGCATCTGCCAGCGACGACAGCCGTTCGCCCAGCCAGCCAGTGGATCCGCACCACTTTCCTATGTGCAGTGTGCGATTTAACGAGAATCAGATGGTGAGCGGTACAACTGCGTCGTGTTGCCTGCTGGAGTATTATCTAGAGCTCGATAATGCTGCAAGCTGCTGAAAGCCCCAACGGAGTCGTGAGAGCACAGCACCTGCATTGAAACTTTCAGGTTATCATTCACTGGGTGACTGTCTGCAGGCGGGGCCCTAAGTCGACCATGTGCCTCTACGTCGGTGTCGCTACTTCCGTAGGCTCTTCCTCCGGATCCTTGGATGTTTTGCAACAGAAAGGAAGGGCAATAATATCTGTTGGAACCTCCGCTCCAAGTCGGGGTCCCAAATCCTGCAATGCTGTAGTATTATCTGTCGAGAGGCTCAGGGCTCGTCGTCGGAGCTCGGTCCCTCAACCACGGAGGTCGGTGCATCCATCTCCTCAGTACACGAGAGTGGACGTTTCAGATAAATAACGTAGCTGGGTGTTGCGCTGAGTGGAGCTTAGTAGCGGCTGGCGATGTGGGCGCTGCCTCGAACTCCGTGGGCAGCCGCAGACCAGTCGGCAGCGGGCTGAATGGGCTCGGATCCTGATCCCATCGTAGAGAAAAAACACAGCCTCGTCTTAGCACACCGCACGGAAGTCCTTGGACCCGGAGCTTCCAAACTCTCCGCGGACCTGTGCCTGTCGCATCCAGGGTGCTCAGGGAGACAAAGCCGAATCTAGAAGATGCCTCCATGCGTTCACGGAGAGCGTTACGGAGGAGCTCCTGACAAGGATGCTGACGCTGACAAGAAAGCTAACCCTTGATTTTCTCGCAAGTTTTGCACCCCGCCTCTTCGAAAACTGCTGTGGCCAGCTGCTCCTGGAGCTCGTTCAATTCCTCTGTCGCCTCGGCCTGCGAGGAAAAGCATGTCTTCTAGAACCGCCGTTACGGCACCGAAGGAAGCCCACCTGAGCTTTCTCGGCCACGGCCTGCATCTCCTCTGTCGGAAACACACATCTATAAGCTTTTGGAAGAACTTCTCAGCACAGCGCGGCGCCTTCTCTGCTGCGAGCATTTCTGAGGTCTCGATCGCCTTCTTGGTCGCGGACTCTATCTCCTCCGTCGGAAACACACATCTAAGCCTTTGGAAGAACTTCTCGGCACAGCCCGGCGCCTTCTCTGCTCCGAGCAACTCTTGCTGGCAAGCCTGTGCCTGCTTCTCCGTCTTGAGCAGCGAGTCCTGAGCTCGGGGATGAAGAGCAAATCTTGTGTTATGATGGCGGGACGCCCACCTGCCTTCATCTTGTTCTGCTGCTCCACGGCGTCTGCCAGACCCCTCTCCATCTGCGGCACCAGTTTTTGGTGTCGCTGCAGGTCGGCAACCGCTCCCTCCTGTGAGACATACTGTCGGGGTTTAGCACATCTGCATCTCGAATTTCAGAAGCTGCTCCTTCTCCGCTGTCACGCGCAGCAGCTGTGCCGTCGTGAGCGCCTCTTGCCGGAGAGACTCCTGAAGCTTGTCGTTCTTCTCCTTCAGCTCGCGCCGCAGGGCCTCGCGTTTTCATGAACATGTCCCGGGTGAATGATGCGGTCCCAATCAGCAGCTAGGTCCTCACAGTTCGTCACGCTCTGCCGCAAGACGTGGATGTTGTCCTCCTTCGCTCTGATCAGAGAGTCCTGTTGGCAGGTCAGACTTGCGCATGGAAATTGTGGCTTCCGGATGTCCTTCGCACGCAAGGTCTCGTTCGCGTTTCGGAGTTGGCCCTGCGTAGGCAGTGACAAATGAACCGAGAATCAAGAAGCCGACAGTTCAGGCCTGAACTTTCGCAGTCTGGGCCTGCATCATGAAAGAGGCGATCCAAGGAACCAACTTCCTGATTCCCCGCCTCCAGCTCTCTAAGCTCGGTGTCCCGAGCTTCTTCTGCCTCAAGCGCTGAAGCTGCAGTCCCTCCGGTGACTCCTCCCAGCTGCCCAACCTGCCTTCCGCATGTCGGCAAGCTGCCGCGCTAACGCAGCCTGGCTCAGACTCAGACAGAGTCACAGCACAGAGCTTTTTGACCGAAGACGAGAAGATGCCTCTTCCAGCTCTAGCTGTGCTACGTCAGCCTGGCCCAGAGTGATAGCAATCAGCTGTAGGACCGAAGGAGGTGCTGCGAGGCGCCTCTTCGAGCTGTCGCCGCAGAACCGCAACCTGGCGCAGAGTGATAGCGGCCAGCTTAAAAGAAAAGGACCGCAAAGTGCCGGCACCTCTCGCTCGGACGCCTCCGCCCGTGCCAAGTTCGAGATGCGCCACCCCTGCAGGTAGCTTAGGATATCTATAGTACTTCCACTGCAGAGCTGCCGACCTCCGAGATCCGCAGCTTCTCCGCGTTCTCGAGGCTCTGCGCCTTGTACACGGAAGCTTCCGCCTTGGCTGCTGCCTGCAGGGGGCTCCATCTTTCAATCTTTCCATATCCTACTTCCCCAAACCCACCTCGGCACGGCCAGCTGCCTGGCTCTCTGCCTGGCATGTGAACTGTTGCTTGTCTTCCCTCTCTCTCGCTTTCATCCTGCCTTCCACTCTCTCTTTCTCTGCGTACTGTCTTCTTCTGTCTCGCTTTCCGTCCCTACCTCTGCGTGACTCCCGCCCCACCTCTGCAGCAGCTGTCTGCTGCTCTTGCTTCGACACCTCTGGCTGTATTCAAAGATCCGAAACACCGGGAGAAAACACTGGGCCCGCCTTGTCAGCGGACTCTGCCTCCAGCTCCTTGAGCTTCGAGACCAGCTTCTTGCACCGCTGATCGCACTTGTTCTCGGAGGACGAGGACTGCGCCTGCACCTCTCGCTTCCGCTTGTTCTCTTCTGGGTTCGTTCTCCATTGGCCGTCCCAGCGCTGGCGGTAGGGGTAGGCCATCTTTTAAGTGGCCTCCTAGTAGCCTAGTAGTGCGGTGGTCCGTGCCGGTGCTATTCTTATTGCTTCTGGTGCTGGTGCCCGTGCTGGTGCCTCTGCTGCTGCCCCTGCCGGTGCTGGTGCTGCTGGCTTTCACATTGTACCTCTGAACAACATATGACTAGCTTGTGTCTGACTGTCAAGTCCATCTAAAGCGGCTGACCCATGAACGTGTTGTCTGCCAAGCCTTAAAAAACCGCAATGAGCATGTGAAGTTCAGGCAGTCGCATGTCAGCCAGTCATTGATGCACTGCACTCGAACACGGTGTGGAACACTGTCTGCTGAGGCTATGACAGTGCCGCCAAGAGGTGCCAGCCTGAGCACACTTCAGATATCAGAGAGCTGAGGCATGAGGGGCATTATAGGGATTAGGGTCCCGCGCTGCGTCGGTAGAGTCCCATGATTTCCGTATAGATTGGTGCGGCACCAAACTTCCGTAGCAGCCGTAGCACTAGCAGCAGCCACTTGGACGGTCGCGGGACTTAGTAACTGCTGGTTTGCCCAACCTAACGCAACAAGTCCCTCTAGGTCATTAAGGAAGTTTAATCGGTACCAGCTAGAAGCCAGACAGAAAGCCCGACACCCCTCTATTGAACCCTATATTGATCCAACAGAACGACCTGAAACCAGACTTCGGAAGTGCCGGTTCCGAAACCGGCGGGGTCTAGGAAGTGCTTTCCAGAAGTGCTTTCAGAAGTGCATTCGAATCCCTTGCAGCCACTGGAGCTTTCAAGAGGCCTCGCAAGGCGGCTGGCCTTCGAAATGGACAGGCGCGGCTGTGGGGGGTGCCGCCTAGGGCTGCGTGCCTGCGCTCAGAGTCAGTGATAGCACGGCTGCTAGAAGCATGTAAGGCTCCAGGAGATATAAGGTGAGGATGCCGGCAGCATCTGCGGCATTTGGCTTCAGTGCGTGACGGGGTTGACTGGGGTTTCTCTCATTGTTCCTCGCGCACGCAACATGGCATTCCATTGAATCCAGCTCCATAATACACGCGCAAAACCCCAAAGGATTTAATACCTGCGTGCGTTATCGATTTCCTGTACCATGGCATCGAGCACATCACATACGAAACATAGCCAAGGCAGCATCTGTCAGAGGAGCAACGCCCGAAAACCTTTCGAAACCTGCGTAGTGAACAAATATAGAGCTTCAACAGTCGCACGACATGGACGCTGAAAAGCGCGCGCAGTGCACTTGGGAGCGCCGCAAAGACGTTTGGTCTCAGGCACTTGTTGCCGGTGACACTGGTCAAACGTGGCTTCTTCCTCAAACGGTGGACGGCCGTTTTAGCCTGGCCTGCTGGTGCTGCAGGGCGGCTGGCGTCGACAGTACTTGGTCCGAGGGTGTAGTGACCAATAACTTCGGCAACCTGAAGAGGCACCATGAATCGCAAGGCCATATCAATGCCATGATCCAATTGGGCCTGCTGGAGCCTAACGAGGATACCATCCTGAAAGGTGCACCTTCCGAAGAGGCTTTCATGAAGGTCTTGGCTAACCGTCTGGAATGCAGATCGCTGCAGAAGGGCATCCCTGGCGTCGGTCAACGGTTGAAGGTGACCGACATGCAAGTCTGCATGTCGGCCTCGTTGTGCATGCTGGATAAGGCCTTTCTCCAGGACGCTGTTTCTATTAGCGTATTCCAAGATGTCAGGAAGCATGTCCTTCTGGTGCGCTTCCAGGCATGCTCTCAGGATCTGACGGTGCGCTGCGGGGTGCTAGCGCACGCGGATCTGAAAAAAGACGGAGCAACCACTGCTGGCACCATGGAAACGCTTTGGACTGCGCTAGAGTGCTTCTACAGCGACCTGGATGGCAACGTCGAGCACGACTTGCTGCAGGAGTTCTGCGCTAAGGTGCAATTCTTCTGCTCCGACGCTGCGGCGGACGAGCTGCTATGCGGGAGAATGCTGAAACACAGCGGCATTTTCCCGCAGATGCGATACCAGGTGTGGGATAAGGCACACGCTTGTGGGAGACTGTTGAAACGACCGTGGCAGGCGGATGAGCGATTGGCCAGCATCGTAGACCGCTTTGCGCTGGGCGGCGACAGTATAGCGCAGAAGGTGCAGAGCTCGCCCCACGTGGCACGCATCTTCCAGGACGCGTGCCGCCGCTCCGAAACGAATGGGATCCGTGCGGGCCGCGTGAAGTCGCTCAGCTTTGCGAAGCACAGATTCTGTTCCATATCGAAACCGCTGGGTCGCAGTTTGCTGTACATCGAGGCCGTCATAGAGACGTGTGTCTGGCTGACACTGCACCGGGCCGGTGAGCCAGCGGGACTGGCTGCAGCGTCTTGGCTCCGCGAGGTAAGCGAAGAAGAGCTGCTGCTGGCAGCTTTGTGCGCCGATGGGTCTGACGAAGTAGTGGCCTTCTTACGTCACTTTGATCAGGATGCTTTGCCGAAAGAAGTGTTGCAACACCCTGATCTCGTTCCGTTACGGACTAGACTGACTAGACTAATAAGCCCTGAACTCTGAACTACAGTCGTTGCCGTCAACTTCAAACCCTAGCTAAGCATTTCAGCCCGCACTGTGCACTCAGATGCCCTGGGCAGGAAAACTGGGATGCCGCCGATTGCCACTACTGGGTAACGAGTTTCCTCTCGAAGCTCCATTACTTGTTCAACGAAGAAGCTGCATGGGAGGTTCCGGGCTACACGCGTCACATCCTGTCCGTCCTCGAGAACAACAGCTTTGGCGTCGTCATCGACGGCGACTCCAAATCCTTTGGCGGATATCCTGTGCCGGGCGACGTCAAGCGCCGCTGCATGCGTCATCTCCAGGCCTGGGTGGTCACGGTGGCCAGCATACTGGCCACCGAATTCCCGCATCATGAGCTTCTGAGCAGCTTCATGATCTTCGACCTGCGCGTCTCCACGCGGACTGATCTGGATGCCGACCAGGGCGCCACTCGTGACACGGCTTTGCGTCGCCTGGCAAGGGCTTGTGGTGTCTCTGCCCAAGGCCTTCAGGATGAAGTGGAGGATCATTTTCCAGTTGCGAAGCACTTGGCGGTGACCCAGAGCCTGTCCAACTGGGAGTCGTGGCGGCGGGCCGTGCGCAAGACGCAGGCACGGGGATCTACTGCGGAGAGACATCCTGCGGGCAATCTACTCCCCGTCCTTTGCCGGTATGGGGCCATGCAGTGCTCCACTAGCGGCATTGAGCAGCTGTTCAGTCAGGTGCAGCTTCATCTGGGCCGCGACCGCGGCCACATGACAGATGACCATGCATTTGCGGAGGTCAAGCTGATCGCAGACGGCAAGAGCATCCCGGACCAGAAGAGCTTTCTGCAGGGGGCTCGCGCCTGCTGGCTGGCGTGGTATGGGCATCAGCGTGCCAGCCCTGCAGAACAGCGCTTGGATGCAGGGGTGAAACGCAAGCCCAAGCAGGACCTGCGTTTCTGTAAGACTTCCGGGGTCGGTTTAGGTTGCACTGCAGCCCGTGCGGCGTTCAGGACAATGTGGGTTCGTAGGACTTGAAACCATGCCCATTAATAGCACGTCACAGGACAGCGAGGCGACCTTCCTCGCAGGCCGACGTGAGGCTTCGGGCGCGGGTGACAGGGTCTCGCTGGAGGAAGCTGTCGAGGCAGCCTTGGAGGGCGCAGGCGATGTTTGGGACGATTCCATGATCCAGGAGCTTGAGTTTCAGGAGTGCAAGCGTTACCGGAACCTAGCCAACGCATTCTTGGTGGATGCTGTCACTGAGGACGATGTGCCAGCTGACTTGGTGGAAGTGGCCCAGTACTTTGCCAATGCGGATGAAAAAGGTGCCCAACAGCGGCAGAACAAGCGCCGCAAATGCCTGGAGATTCTGGAGCCGACCCCTCCTCGGCTGGGTTCTGCCAGCATCTGGCTTGAGAGGGACGCCTGGGACGAGCTCATGCCACTGACGCTACGCCGGAGCAGAGTGGAGCAGGTGCAGGATGCTTCATTGTTCGTGGTCACCCGGCCCGACAAACCACCGGCTGTTGTGCGTTGGACCGCCATGTTGCACGGCGCAGACATCACAGATCTGACTTTCCTTAGGAGCAACGGCCAGCGTGGGGTGGCGTTCAACTACGATGCCGCCGTCAGCATCCAGCGCCACCTCTTGGTCAGTGATGAGTTCTGGGAGGATGAGCCGCAGCTCGCGGCTACGCTGGAACTTGCCATCTTGTCGCCGAAGTCCCGATGGCGCAAGCTGGGCTCTTGGGAAGCTTTCGCTGAGAGGTACGAGAAGGTGGCTGGTCCTGACATCGCTGCTCACTTGCGCAAGCCTAAGCAGGTCTTGGCCATCACGACAGCAGCAGTCCAAGCAGCCCTGGGGATGGAGTCGGTTCTCACTGCTGAGGAGTTCGAGGCCTTTTGCGTGCGACTCACATGCACAAAGCGATCTCTTTGCGGGACGTGATGGAGAACCGCAAAGCTGAGATTTCATGTTCAGAATTCAGAATCAAGTTTGCGTGGCTTAGTCTGCCACGGGCTGCTGCTCATGCTCGGAGGACCAGCGCAGTCTAATTAATGTCCAAACAGCTGTCTGACAGAGCTTGACGACCGAGTTTTACATGTCCAGTGAGGACTGCACGAGTCGCCTGCTTTGGTTTGAGGCTGCACTTGGATGACGCATGTCTTTGACGGGGCTCTGGGACATCTGGGAGAGGGGAAAGACCGTAGACACAGAGAAGCACGCGGAAACGCTAGGTACTGCTGCTGAGTCTTGTTCTGCATTCACGTCCTGTGCCCTTCTGCAGGCTCCCGGGCCTTCCTCTGGAAGGCCTTGCTGCAGGCTCGGCTTGTTACTCCGCAGTCTCGCAACATATGTTTGCAGTCCCCAGGCTTGGCCAGTTTGGTTCTTCAAGGTATAAGGTGTGTGTTTGACTCTTGGGGATCCCGGTTCAGGGCGTGACTGCAGCGTGCCGTTGATTCTGCACACGAGCGTTGCTTCCATCTTGCATCACCTTGCTGCAGTTATGTGCTCCCTGCCCTGCCCGTCTCGCTAGAGCCGCAGCCTGTTCGCCATGCCCGGCTGCTGCAAGCCATTGACAGAGAAGGAGCGACTTTGCGAAACGCACAACATCCGCGAGCTCCGTGAGGTCTGCAAGGGACTAGGCATGACATGCAGAGGCACGAAAGATGAGATCCTGGAGCGCATCTTACCGCGGTTGCAGCAGGAGGCAGAGACTGCGGGGCGCACGCCGCGTCAGCAGGTCCAGCTCCACCTCAAGCCTGAACCGCAGTCGCGCAAGCAAGAGGTGAAGCTCGAGATCGACCCGGAGCCGCAGCTGCGCGCGCAAGCAGTGAAGCTTGAGATCAATCCAGAACCTCAGCCGCCCATGGGTCCGGTGAACCTCAAGGTCGAGTCGCAGCAAGGCCAGAGATTCTGGCGTTTGTCCGAGCGCGGTCGCGGCAAGCGGCTGCGCAAACAGCCGGAGCGGTACATCCCGAGCACACTCCGTGAGGAGCTGGAGGACGACGACACGTCAGACGATCTCAACATCAGCTGCGATAGCGAGGGTGATGACAATGATGACATCAGCTTGTTGGACGGCAACAGCGAAGAGCCTGAGTCTTCCGTGGACGGTTTTGAGTCGGACAGCATTGTAGACCCGGACGAGTTCTAGAGAGGCCATGGGCCATGAACCGTAGATGACCGTGGCATGTTGTGGGGCACAGATGGGCTCTGGGTGGGAGGATACTCGAAGGCTGCAGCGGAGGGCTCTGCTATCAAGGGCGAACAGTCCTGCATCCGTTGGGAGGAGTATCAGTGCAGTGGACTAACCCAGCGCCAGTGCCGGATCCAGAAATGCGCGTGCTCAGAGTTTGCCGTGATTCTGCACTGCAGTGTTGATGGCATGAGTCAGGATTCGGGGGCTTGTTGTTTGGCGTGCTCAGAGTTTGCCGTGATTCTGCACTGCAGTGTTGATGGCATGAGCCAGGATTCGGGGGCGTGTTGTTTGTGCCCAAGACTGCCATAGGTAGCATGAGGCAGGGATGACCAAGCGCGGATTGTGTTCTTGGTTCTGCCAGCCAGGTCGTTTGCATGCAGGAGGACAACAACATCCTAGGCTGGTCTTCTGCGCAGCATGCTTTGTCACGTTGCAATGCGGCGGTCGCAGTTACTTGCGACAGTGTCTGGGGTCCGTCAGAGTTCGCCAAGTTTCTGTTAGCTGCGTTCTTTCTGTTTGCGTCATGCAGCACGCCATTTACGAAGCTGCCGCAATCCTATCCTGCTGGTGGCGAGGTGGCGTGCACTACGACAACCTCCAGGGCGCAGGCCGTGCACAAGCAGCAGCTTTGTTTCTGCAACTCGGTGCTCATGTCCGCATGTGCCTTCAGACAACCACGTCGTGTCAGCTCTAGCATCGCAGAAATGCACATATTGCTCGGGCGCAGTTCTTCCTTTTTGAAGAGTCTCTGGGTCATCCGCTATCCTGTCATGGCTTCCGCCTCGGTGCACATGGAAGCACAATTCCAGAAGGATCTGGAAGTACTCTCCAACTGCCCGACCTTCCGCAACATCGCCGCGGAGAAGCCGCACAACATCGGGCAGACCAAGTTTGCCTCGCAGGCGCGACCAATTCGATGTTGCAGCATTGCACACGCAGAGTTTGCAATGGTACATTGACTGCGTGGCACAGTGATTCTGGTCGTCGTTCTCTTGTTCGTCCTCGGAGTTCCGCTCAACCTACGAGTATAATTCAATAGGTAAATCCTGCCTACCAGCAACCCGGGCCGTACCAGCAACCCCGGCCGTACCAGCGGTACGCCGGCGAAAACGGCGCAGCAGAGCGTTCGTACCACGAAGCCGGGCCGTCCCAGCGGTACGCTGCCCAAAACGAAGGTTTGGTCGTGCCTGGGCATTGGCCTGCCCGTTTTGGGGCCGTACCGCTGGTACGGCCCGGGTTCGCGGAACGCCAGCAGGCAGCTGGTACGGCTGGGTTTTTGGCCTTTTCGTTCCTTCGCCGAGCCGTCTATCGGGAGGGTCCCGGGGAATCCCCGGAGAAAGCCGGTGTAGGCCTGCCTGGGACAGCAAGCAAACAGCAAGCAAGCCACAACAGCGCGCCAGAGCGTGCGTACCAGCAACCCCGGCCGTACCAGCGGTACGCCGGCCAAAACGGCGCAGCAGAGCGTGCGTACCATGAAGCCGGGCCGTACCAGCGGTACGCTGCCCAAAACCATTGGCCTGCCCGATTTGGGGCCGTACCGCTGGTACGGCCCGGGTTCGCGGAACGCCAGCAGGCAGCTGGTACGGCTGGGTTTTTGGCCTTTTCGTTCCTTCGCCGAGCCGTCTATCGGGAGGGTCCCGGGGAATCGAAGGAGAAAGCCGGTGTAGGCCTGCCTGGGACAGCAAGCAAACAGCAAGCAAGCCACAACAGCGCGCCAGAGCGTGCGTACCAGCAACCCCGGCCGTACCAGCGGTACGCCGGCCAAAACGGCGCAGCAGAGCGTGCGTACCACGAAGCCGGGCCGTACCAGCGGTACGCTGCCCCAAACCATTGGCCTGCCCGATTTGGGGCCGTACCGCTGGTACGGGCCGGGTTCGCGGAACGCCAGCAGGCAGCTGGTACGGCTGGGTTTTTTGCATTTTCGTTCCTTCACGGAGCCGTCTATCGGGAGGGTCCCGGGGAATCCCCGGAGAAAGCCGGTAATCATTCCCTGTTGGCAACCAGCCTTCTCTCAGCAGCCTGCTGCGGAGCAGCCCCGCGAGAGCAAGCTCATTCCTTGTGCTCCCGTTTACCAGCGGCCGGCGGGCCCGCGAGCCATTAGGGTACGGGTACCCTAATGGCTCGCGGGCCTGCGGGCCAGCAGGCCGGCGAGCCATCAAGGGTTCAGGCGGCGAGCCATTAGGGTACCGTGTACCCTAATGGCTCGCCGCCTGAACCCTTAATGGCTCGCCGGGCTGCTGGCCCGCAGGCCCGCGAGCCATTAGGGTACCAGTACCCTAATGGCTCGCCGGTCCGGTGACTGCGTGGGAAGTTTCAGTTCTGCTTCGTATCGTGTCGAGCAACACATGACTGTGCATGTCAGCGCATCCTGGAACACCCTGACAGCCCTCCTGGGTCGGCGCCGCCTTCGAGAAAGCCTTCCATCGCACGGGCGAGTACTGCTGCAGCGGAAACATCTTCTGGCTATCCACGACCTTCAATCCTTGGCTCCTCGGTAGCCTAGAGTTTGTCTGGTTAGAGTTTATGTTCCTACCTCGCAGATGCTTACATATTACTACTCTTTGCTGCTGTTCTAGAGTCGGGAAACTCTCCGAAGCCCCAAACCCAGCATCTTCGAGGCCCGGAGTGCATGTGAGCCCGCACTCTATCGCCGTGCTTCAGAAGGACTTTTTCGAGGAGCCCCGCACGTGGCCGCACCAGCTCTGCATCGTGGTGGGGCTCACGGCCTCGTGTAGCGCAGACGAGTTCAAGCGCCAACTGGGACATCTCAGGCGTGTCTCCCCGGCCGAGGTGGTGCACGCATGGGTTGCGAGCATCGCCCGAGACATCCGTGCGGGTGCTCCGCAAGATGTCTTGGACGATTGGAAAAACGCGTCTCTGGCTGTGTCCATGAACTTTGTGGTTTGCGAAGACGACGAGGCTCTGCGCTGGAGAAGCCTGAACGAGCGAGAGCGGTACATCAGTGCATCGGAGTCTTTGGCGCGATCCTGTCTCCAGCGTTTGGAGGAACTGGCAATGGTGCGGGAGAACTTGAAAAGCAAGCTGGGCAATAAGAACGCCGCAGAGACGGCCAAGCTCATGTCTCAGGAGTGGCTCAGCAAGGTGAAGAAAGCCACCAGTGCTATGAGCGAGGAGGCACGACCGAGTTTGGTGAGGTTTGAGGTTCAAGTCTTAAATGTCGGGGCGTAAAACTCGGTTCGGCGGCCTAACTTTGCCAGGTCAGCAAGACCTTCGTGGAGAAGGGCCTGCGGTTGTACGACAACTGGTTGCAGCTGGGGGGCGGCGTGGTCAAGGCTGCGCTGGTCCAGCTGGAGAGCACTTACGGCTCTGACTCCCCGTTCCACACCCTGGCCGCCCTCGAGGGCCTGTCTAAAAGAACCAAAGGGGCAGACATTGCAGTCTGGGTCATTGAGGCCGTGGAGGACCTCCACAAGCACGGCTTCATTGGAAACTCGGAGATGAAAGGCGCCTTTCTGACGGCCGGCAAGAGCAGCCAGTTAGACGTTCTGGCGGCCAAGTTTCGCATCAAGCAGGAGTTCGTTGACGGGTGGATGACGAAGCATGGCTTCAGCGCCAAGGATGTGATTCTGTGCAAGGCGGGCGAGTCCTGCTTCTACGGGAGTCGTCCCTATAGGCAACCTGACAGCCTGAATGCTAGCTCTCTCGTCTTCCTTGGAAGTTGCAAAATTGCAGGTGGTGCGCCCTCACGCTAGGAAGTCCAAGGCAATTTAGGATCCGTTGGAATGGGATTGAAGTAGGTCGGAAACCCCAAGCACCAGCTGGTGCGCATGTGAGTCTCGGCCCCTGCCACCCCCCCAACTGTAACAAGTCCCTCCTGGTTTTCAGAATTCAGGAGCTATGTGAGTCGCCGGCTGCCTGGCGCGCCAAATGCGGAGGCGGTCAGCTCAAGGTGGACACAACCTGGCAGTCTCGGCTGCCGGAGCCCACCCTCAAGGCCATTTGCTTCCTGCAGCAGGTGGTCTGGGAGACAGGTCTGGACGGAAGTCTGCGCAGCAGCCTGCACGCCAGCAGCGCAGCGCTGGAGATCTTCACGTACAAGCCGTTTTCGGGGATGCTGGACGAGATCGCGCAGCTGCAGAACGTCAGCACGCCGCAGCAGCCAGGAGAGGCGTCGAGCCAGGTCGCCGCGGCTGCAGCAGATCCAGATGCGGGCATGAGCTTAGCCAATTTGGGGGTGCCTCCTGCGATTGCAAATGACAAGCAGGAGGAGTTGGACGCCTGGGTCAAGCAGTGCACGGCGCACGCGGAGCGCTATGTCCGCTGTATCCAGGAGCCCGCGACAGCCTCTGAGTTGAAAGACTTGCTGATGGCCCCGAATGTCTTTGGTGCCTTCCAGCCCACCAATGACGAGAAGATAGCGGTGTTTTTCGATGCCAAGACCTGTGGGGAGAGCTCGTCGCAGCCTTGGCTGCGTAGGCCGGCTATGAACTTTGAGCGGCTGAAGAAGGTCGTGAAGGCTGCTATTGCGGCGCGGCTTGGAGACGCAGCTTGTCTCTGTCTCCAGTGCTTGCATCATTTCACGGTATCTACTTGTCGTAGTACTGACGCTGTAACGGGATATAGGGAAGAGGGGGGGCGGGGGGACGCCTCGCAGTCGACCGACACCGTCGATCCCAACCTCCTCGTGCTGGTTATGGACGGCAGCAAGAACTACGACGCGCAGCTCTGGAACAGCATGATTTTGCCGAACGGGAAGTTGTGGCCGGAGCCCATGTCATGCCTGGGTTGTGCAGAGATACTACTACTTAGTTAACAGGGTCGGCGAACTCAGCACAGGTTTGCGGACGGGGTGCAGGCTGACACCCTACAGCCTGAAAACTGAACCCTTCGTCCCCGTAGGAGAAAGAGCGCACCTCCATCATGGTCCATTATGACGAAGACTCCGTCCGATCTCGGAAGTGCCTCCAACGGGGGATGCTCCAGCTCGCTGAGCACTGCCATGTCTTCGGCAAGAAGGTTGATGTGGCCACGAGCAAATCCAGGATTTCACTCAGGGGCACCACGAATACTCAGGCACGGAAACAAACGTGTTGCATGACACATCTCAAGACTTGCAGGCCGTGAAAGAGCTGTAAGTTGTTCATTGGGTCAAGGAGCTCCAATTTGTTCATTGGTTTGCCTTGAAAGGTGCTGGGGCCGGCGCACATGCTGCCCTGGACTGAGACCTGGTGCGAGGAGAAAGCCGTGAAGGAGGCGATGTATGGGGCCGCAGGGAAGTCGTTTGCAGGGGGAGCAATGCATGGCAGCGACCGTCCCGGACTGCCAGACGACAAGGAGCCGGTACACTGGCACAGTATGCCCCCGATTATCGTGCAGGAGCTCATCTACGCGTGGAACATTCGTGTCCTTGTGGATGCAACAGCAAGCGACGACTCCGTGGGCTTGGCCTGCCTGCGTCAGAAGTGCAGCTACATCGGAATGACGTGGACAGCAGAGCATAGCAAGCGGCTCCAGGCCAGATTGAAGCATACGCTCTGGAAGGAGTACTCCACGGAGACGTCGCCGCTGCACCAACCCGTTCTGTGACTGGGCTAATGATTTCATTTCTTTGTCTCCCACCCTCCCAGCTCCCACTACCACACCCCACCTCCCAGGAGCCAGATGCTGAACGACGAGGTCGACGAGGGCGAGCCGGCCAAGTGGCGGCGCACCAGCGAGGGCCGAGGTAAGGGAGGCCGCGGCGCTGGCGGGAGCATGAGCAAGGGCGGTGGCAAAGGCGCTAAGGGCGGAGGCGCCACGCGCGGCGCAGGGCGTGGAAAGGGAGGCGGCAGGCTGAGCGGCAAGGGTGCCAGCGCTGCTTTGAAGGCCAAGGAGATCATGGCAAGAATGCGGAAGATTCAGAGCCAGCAAGGGCAAGGAGTTTCCGAGGGTGCCGAGGCTGGCCCGGATACCGGAGCCGCCGCGAGCAGCTGATCCATTGCCTCAGGGCCCAGCAGGTCTAGAGCCTCGTTTTGCAAGCATTGCCGCTGCGGGATCGGGCGTGCAACCTTGTAGAATGCGTTTCAAGGATCCGATCCATTGTAGGTGATACCCGGACACCTCGAACCCGTGGCCGTGGCATAGCTGGCCGTTTTCCGAGCTGTGTTCCAGCAGTTGCAACGTACTGCAAATGTGTAGGGCCGTGCTCGAGTCTTTGGCAAAGTCACCTCTTGTTTCCGTCATCACGACATGTGTCGCTGGCAGAGACGCGCAATTCTGGAGATGAAAGATGAGTGAAGCTTGGACATTGTTGCTCCGGAGACTTTCAGCCAGTAAGCCTCTGCTCTGTAAACGAGTGTGAAGCCAGTAAGCTAGAAGACCTGTCTTGCATGTACGTCAGTGTGCGGGCATGCCTGTGAGTAGACCTCAATCGCAGTTTCGTGTGCGCTCTCTTGTGGGCTGTGCATTCAACTAGCGGCAACTAGCGTGTGCGAGATGGGACGAGCTCTCTGTTTGAGCAGCTGCTGTTTCGGATTTCAGGTGCCGTGCTCGCGTGCGAGAAGCCTGAGCTATGTCAAGCATCCGCGTGGGGAGCACGTGTTCCGGCTACTGTTCGGAGCTGCGTGCCATGGAAATCCTGGGGCTGATGCACCGCGTGAAGCCTGTGTTCGCGGTTGAATCGGATCGTGCTACACGGGACCTGTGCCATCATCTCTGGCATCACGAGCACCTCTGGGAGGACTGTACGTCCTTGGACTTTCTGGATTGGCGTCATCCGAGCCTGGACTTTTTCATGTCCGGGCCTCCTTGCCAGCCGTTCAGCCGGCAGGGGCTTGGGCTAGCTTTGGAGGATGAAAGGTGCGCCCCGCTGCTGTCCACGCTGGTTTGGATTGTGGAGAACCAGCCCGTCTGCTGGTTACTTGAAAACGTTGCTGGATTGGTGGACCATCACCCAGAGCTTTTTCAGTTCATTCTTCACACGTTGAGGAAGAATGCACATGGACAGGAGGCCTATGACGTTTCTTGGCGGGTGCTGGACAACCTCACGCATGGCGGAGCACCCAACTCACGCATCCGCGTGTTCATTGCCGGCATCCGTCTAGACCGCAGACGTGCTCCTGTAACTTGGCCGTGCGAGGCTGGGAAGCTGCGACAGCCCTGTGCCTTCAACCCCATCGAACCCCATCAAAAGCCTAGGCTGCAAGCCACATTGATTACATCACGTCCCTGACTCCCGTAGATGCAAATGTCCTGCGCACAATACTCCCAAAAAAATTGAGTCCAAAAGCGGCTACATTCACATGATTTTCAAAGCAGGGTCCGCATCACAGCCAGAAGCAGTGCAGTGAACATGACATTGCACAGTTTCATGTTCAGCAGCCTGTATAGACTGGCAGGTGGCGCCGCGTCCGCTGACGGACTTCCTAGAGGACACTGTGCCTGCTCGCAGGCCCGAGACACTGACTGGAGTCTGTGCTCGGAAACGCCAGCAGGCTTACAGCAAGATCAGAGAACAAGGAGGCAACCCCCGTGTGGACCACTACGTTATCAACATTGGCTCGATCACAGGCCACTTCCAGTTGGGTCGGGTGCCGTGTATCACTAAGGCTGCAGGAAGTGGCAAGCGGTTTTATTTGTCTTGGCTGGAGCGGCGCCTGACCGTGCGGGAGATGCTGCTCCTGCAGGGACAAGACCCGGACCGCGTTTGCAACTTCGGCCTCAGCGACCACAAGATTGGGCAGGTGGTCGGCAATGGGGTGCCAGCTGTGCTGCTCTCACGCATCATCCGAGCCCTTTTCGTGGCTTCGGGCCTTCTCTAGATCCAGGCTCGCTGCTTCAAGCAAGAGCCAGGACGACATGGTGTGGCTTGGCCAGGGAAAACACCTTGAACACGGCTCCGTTTCATTAGAAGCCTCGTGCAATTAAGTGCTGGAAGAGTTATCTCGCGGGAGCACTGGACAAGGAAAAGAAGCAGGCCTGCATCGACCCCTGTTTTTTCATCTAGCGGCGTTTGTGAACAGTCTGACGTGTAGCTGGTCATTCGTCAGCACACGTCGACCGCCAGCCACTCCGAATTCTGAGTGAAACCAGTAGCTGTCCCAACTTCGTCACACGGTCGGTGCGATGGCTGCATGCTGTACCTGCTCAGGGTTTCTTAAATAGGCAGATTTGCTGGCACGTCGTGGCAGCTCTCACGGAGTGTTGCGCAGCAGGTCTGTGATGAAGTGTCGCCCGCACCCAGGGCAATGTTTCCAATCACTTGACCCTTGCTTCAGGCCACAACCTGTGCAGTGCACGAGTCCTCGAACGCAGTTTTCCGTCCGAGGCTCAGCATCAACGGAGCGCTGATTGATACCCGCAAGCAAGGGTTGATATGCAGCAGACATAGCATTTCGCTGGAAATCCGCGGTTGGACGCACGTAGGTGGTCAAGAGCATTTTACTTGATGTGCCAGTGATGGCAGACATCACTGCCACGGAGGTTTTCTCGGATAGAAGCGTGGCAGCTGTCTTCTTGCAGGTGTGGGTCGTAACTTTTTTGAGAGATACCCCTTCAAAGGGGTGATTGCGTCCCAGGCTTCGAGCCTCATGACGCTGCTTCCGCAGCACCTCCTGGCAGGCCTGGAAAACGCCGAAAAACCCACGAGTTGTTATAGGCTTGCACCATTGTCTGCGGTTGTGTCCGCCAATGACTCTGCCGGGAAACAACAAGCGCGCATCCAAGGCTTTCTTCGTGAATCTTGTTCTGGCACGATCAGCAAAGAGCGGCGCTTGTCCGCGGTGAGGCCATTGCTGCGGAGACTCCGGGCTACCGCCTTGCAGTGGGTTGCCATTGCACCAGCACCAGAGGAGGTCAGCAAACTCCCTGGGCAATGCCACAGTGCGTGGGGTAGTTTTCTTGTTCACTCTTGGGATGACGATGCTGGCCACGCAAGAGCTAGCAGGGTCCATGCCACGCAGCCAGCGAGCCGATGCTTGACACATGGCTGCAGCTCTTTCTCCGACCATGATAGTTATCAGGAACAGTACTGCCGCCCAGGGTGCAATCTGGCGCAGGACATTGAACAGCCAAACAGCCTGCTCCGCAGTCAGAGCCTCCCTTCCTCCTCTCTCCGGCGCAGGTCCCAATGCTGCATCCCGGTGCTGCGCACAGCAAAATCGAGCCACCGTCGCTTGGGGGCGCAAGGGCCTGAGCTTCTCCGGATTCAAGAGCTCGACCCTGGCTTTCCAGGGTTTATTCTTGCAGTCGACATTTCGACGGTCGCCGCATGCCTTCAGCGCACAAGGGATTTTCAGTTGGCTGCCACGCTTGCGTTTGGGGCCACGCTCGGGTGCCCGACATCTGCGAGGTCTAGCCATGTTAGAAAAGAAGACCTAACAAGCCTTGCTAGCATCCGCGTACGTGAAGTCCTGTTTCTTGAGCCTGAAAGCCACTCTGGAAAGCACTTCCTAGACCCCGCCGGTTTCGGAACCGGCACTTCCGAAGTCTTGTTTCTAGTGGTTTTCCAGCACACAACATGTCAAGAGGGGGTCATAGCAAGGCTGGTCTGTGTGGGAAACTGACTTCGACCTCGCTGTGCATTTGCGGAAACCCACATGCCTGGACCCTGTGCCAAGCCCTGACTACAGAACGGTTTGAGATCTGAAGTGTGCCCAGGCTGGCACCTTGCGCCGGCATCGTTGCGGAACTGGTCCGAGACCTCAGCGAAGCGTCACTGTCTCTCCACATGTGAAGTGGCTTTGGCTGGGCTTCATGTTGTGTGAAGAAGCAGTCGTTCCGCGCAACATTCCGCAGCCCCGCAGGGTCCATTGCAACATGGCAGGATCTGACCGAAGGGCAGCAGCAGCAGCATGATCATGAGCAGCACATAGGAACTTAGACGAGCAGCAGCACGGGCACCAGCAGGGGCAGCAGCACAGGCACCAGCACGGGCACCAGCACAGGCACCAGCACGAGCACCAGCACACCAGCAGGGAGACAGGCAGCACTAGCACCAGCAGAAAAAAAAAGCAATGAGCGGTGGAAGCAGCGGCTCAGGGCAGGGCTGGTCGGATGGCTACTCCGACTACTCCTACAACAAGTACCACCAAAAATGGGTGGACAAGAAAGAAGAAAACCAGCGCAAGAGGGCGACTCCCTCTGGGCAAGCCGCAGCAGCCGGAGACTCCAGGAACCAAAAGCTCCTGAACAAGCTGAAGGAGCAGACACAGGCGACCGAGCAGGCCAAGGCAGAGCTGGCTTGCATTCGCATGCCAAGGGGAGGGCGAGGGAGACACAGACAGAAGACGGGTAGGAGAGGATAAAGCGACGCTAGGAAGAAGCGGCAGGGGCGGGGAGAACGATTCACATGCCAGGCCGAAGCATCAAAGTACAAGCTCGAAGAGCGCGATGCAGAGGCTGGGAGAGAGAGAGGGAGAGAGAGAGAGAGAGAGAGAGAGAGAGAGAGAGAGAGAGAGAAAGAGAGTAGCAGAGTGTGAACCGGGCTAGGAAGCAGAGGCAGCTGAGCAGGCCCAGGCGGGCGCAGCACGAAAGTGTGACTTCCGCGTCTCATCGCCCGGGTTTTATTATTAGACGGCGAGGCATGCAAGTACAAGGAGGAGATGGTCGCCCAGGAGGCGGTGTCCCACTCACTCTCTCTCACTCACTCACTCTCTCTCTCTCTCTGTCTCTCGCGCACCAGTGCAGAGCAGGGTTTCGGAGTACCCGGGACCTCAGGCAGAGGTCAAGACGTATCGTCGTCAGCTCCTGGAGTGGCAACAGGAGTGGAAGAACGTGGAGGCCATGCCAAATTGGGTGCCGTAGTCCACTAGCATGTTGTCATATGGATGTCCGACGAATCAGATAAAAGGCTACATGAATTGTCCAGTTCTCACCCCACCGCGCGCCCACATTCGCAGGCATACCGCGTCTCCAACCTGTTGGATGCGCGGCGCTACCTGGCTCAGCTGGAATCGGAGGAGCAGAACCAGGCCGGTGGGACAGGGAAGTTCAAGCCGCCTGTTAGAGCTGTTGGTCGTTGGAGGTCAACAACACAGAGCTGGAGCAGAGGCTCCAGAAAACCGAGGTCCCGCCCGGGTTTAGATGCCATTGCGAGTTCTGCTGCTTGCGCTTTCTCGGCAGGAGCGATACGCCGCTTACGAAATGATGACTCAGGAAAGCCATCGATTGGGGACGAAGGCCATGGTTCTTGTGTTTTTTTTGCAGATACACTTCTTGGCTCTTCTGGCCGCAGGAGCTAGAAAAAAACCTCAAGGCGAGCCATGCACTTGTGGCGGAGTTGCGAGCGGCAACCAGGCAGCAGATTCGCTTTTGTGTGCAAGGTTTCCACCGAGCACTGTAGGAATCTAAGACTCTAAGGAAACGAACGCTCGCGACGAACAGATCGCGGAGCTGCGAAGAGCAGCCGGGCAGCATTTGTGCGCCGTTATAGCTCCTCGTGGAAAACACTGCACACCGCATGTGCATTTCCGACGCAGTTTCTGCACGTTAGTGCTGAGAAAGCCCTTCGGCGCAGGCAAGCGCAAGCGAGCTGAAGCAGGCGAAGTTGGACTTAGGGGCCGCGCAGGCCCCCTGAAGTCGTGACCATGGCATTTAGGCCGCTGTGACCAGAATCTGTCTGTGAGGAGAGCATGCGACGGATGGATCGCAAAAACGCGGTGTTGGAATCGGACAAGGCGGGGAAACGGGAATCTCCGGGTAGACGACTATTCGGACGATCGCCAGGAGAGAATGTGCCGGGCAGAAAGGCGACGATCCGAAATCACGGACAAGGCTCGCCATCACTCATATCTTCTGGGCAAGAGCAAACCTTGCTAGCTAGGGAAGTTTAACATCTGCAGGTGGAGACAGAAGCTGCTGGCCTTCGCACTCAGCTCAAACGAGCCGAGTCGGCGAATGAGGCTCATCGCTGTATGCTTGGGGTTCAAGGGATTACTGTTGCAGTGATTCTGATTCAGACGCAGCCCGACATTCTGACATCCGAAAGCCCTGACATCCTGCATCAAGCTGGGTACCATGAGCTGCACGTGCGGTCAGGAGCGCATGGGGGAAGTTGAGAAGAAACTCCGAGAGGCTTGCTGTCAGACTATAGTTCTTGTCGGAAAGCTGACACAGCAGGCCCAGAAAGAGGCTGAACACTGCAAGGCAGGGAGGTTTGTTTTCGGGAACCTACACGAACAATAATAATTCAGCGGTCGCTGCGCTACGCTTCAAGTCATATATCCGGAACCAGACATGCAGGCATCAGCTGAGGTGGAACTACGACAAGCTGAGGCAAAGATCCAGGCGGATGAATCAGTGTCAGAAGCTGCTTCGATACAGGTTCGTTTCAGTTGTTTTGCAGCCAGGTGCTGGCCAACGAGGAGACGCAATTGGCGGAGGAGCTGCAGGCGGGCCCGTCTAAAGTCTTCCGGGGTAAAGACTCAAGAAAGCTGCTACACGAGGCATCCGTAGCGATGAAGGCCGAGGCGAGATCAGCAAGTTTAATGCACTCGGAGAAATAAAAAAAGAAGACATTGACAGGAAATGACTGCCGACTATCGGCAGCAAGTGGAGGCTCACGAACAGTTTGTGTGCGACCGTTATGCCGTCAAGACAATCACAGGACCGTGAGCTCTGGATGGATCTGAAGTTCCAGGCACTTATGTGTTTGCGCCGCATGCTAGGCTCATTCTAATATAGTCAGTGGCTCCTGCTGAGCAGGAGCAGCGCAGCAGTTGCCACACGGAGATGGCGTCTCTGCGTGCGCAGCTGGACGACTCTGAGGTGCGCACAGATTCCGTGTGAATCCTGCATTGGACGATGTGCCTGGCAGGGCCGATGTTTGACTTTGGGGCTGCAGCTTCGCCAGGACTCTTGTCATAGCCAATTACAAAAAAAAACAGAAGCGCATTTGATGAAAGGAGTTGGGTCTGAGCCCGTTCGAACGACTTCCTACTTTGGCTCCGGTACCGACTGCTCCTGGGCTGCATTGACAACTCCTACCATCCATCCCATCTTCAAGCTTCCCTTTCAGGCATCCGAGGAGCATAGCATCGCTTCGCCGCGGGAGGCAAGAACCTTGTATGCATTCCGAGCTTCCCACAACAAGTCACAAACAGGATACGTCACCGGCGACGAGTCCAGCCCCTGGATCTCCCCAGCAGATCCCGACCGAGGTCCCATCTCCGACTCTCAGCTGTGAACAGTCTTCGTTGCATTCGTTGCAGACACGATAGCTCGACCATAATCGTAGCCTTAAAGCTTGGATCCAGGTCTACATGACTGGTCAATCGACGACCGGCATTTAGGGCCTGACTTCAGCTCCTCACTTCCACATAGCAGTTCGATGCAACTCTCGGTTGGTTTGTGGACAAGTCATTCTGCGTAAAGTTACAGATTGAAGATGATCTTATCTCAGGTCCTGAGAATCCCCGCCGAAGTATGAAGACGCTGGGCCTCGGCACGACTGAAACTTGGATTGTCCATGCTACTTCTGCAGACGAGCTCTCCCTCGATCATCGAATAGTCTTTGACTCCGAGGTTTTCAGCACGGAAAGCCGCGCTTATCCTTGTTCTCATGAACATTAGCTCAAGAGTAGTATCATCTGCTCATTGAAAAAAACAACCGAGGACGGCGTTCTTCCACAGAGACCGGCACGAGAGTCGGGTGCAAAATCGAAAATGCGCCCTGCAGCACGCACCGCTCACTTGCCAGATGCTGTGCGGTTGCATGCTAATGATGCTACTGAGCACATCTAGTCTCATCCATCCCGAACGTTGTCCCGCACTGATGGGATGTTGCTGAGGTCACGACCGCGGAGTTGACACGAAGCTCTGCACTGAGTCTGGGAATTTCGGTCTCTCTCTCTCTCTCTCTCTCTCTCTCTCTCTCTCTCTCTCTCTCTCTCTCTCTCTCTCTCTCTCTCTCTCTCCCACTCTTTCTCTTTCGCCACGGCTATGGTTCTCTCTCTCGCTGTCTCTTTGACTGCATGGTGCAAGGATCAGCGAAGTACACGGTGCGCCATCACGGCGCACTCCTCCTCGTCGTCTGCGCCATCACGGCACATCTTTCAGGCTCTTACTCAAACTTCTCCCAATTGTTTGATGTGCGCCATCACGGCACACTCCTCCTCGGCATCTGCGCCATCACGGCACATCTTTCGGGTCCTAACACGCGATGCTCTTACTCAATCTTCTCCCAATTGTTTGACCTGCGCCATCACGGCACATCCGTCCTCTGCGCCATCACGGCACACTCGTCGTCGTCTGCGCCATCACGGCGCACTGACTTTGTCCTTTCGCAGGCATAGTTCACCTCTTTTCGGGTTCTAACACACGATGCTCTTACTCAATCTTCTCCCAATTGATCCTTGCGCCA